TAGGCTTGTAGGGTACATCCTGTGGTTGGTTGATGATGCATGGAGAGGACTGTAACCATGGCAATGAAATAATATACGATAGGATGAATGTAAAGCTAATGTTCTCCCATGTAAACTATCACATAATTCACAACAATAAAACATTAAAAATAAAAATCAAATTCTATCTATCAGCATTTCTGAAAGGCATTCCCTGTGTGGGTATTGACAAAGATACAACTTGGTGGTTCAGTGGAAGTCACCAGCTTCCACTGTGAGGACTCAGCCCAGTGCCTACTTGAATGTCTGGGATCCCAGGGGGTAGAATGGGTGGGTGTAAATACAGAGAGACACTTTCAATGTTGTCTACTAGAAACAATCACTGGCACTCGGTGCCTACCTTGCCAATATGAACTGAAATCACCAACTCTCCCAGGATAATACCCTGATGATCTCTTTACAGGTGGGAGGAAATTGTGGGCCTGCTCAGCTGTCCTATGTATCGGAGTGACTATTGCCCTGGTTCTCCTCTATCTTCTTCTTCAGATTCCTCAGTCACATTGGGAACTCTTCCTCCCGACTCATACCTGTGGCCATAACCAAGAGATCCAGACATGGATCTCACACTAAGAGCATTCCTAAGGAAATGCCTGTTTTGAAAAAAACATTGGGTAATGTTCAGTCTCAAGAGAGGTATTGTTGTTAGGTAGACTTGAGTCAGCCGAAGGAAACCCTGTCTGCTTCTGTACCATGCTCACAATGATTTTTGTTTGAGCCCATTGTGGCTGCCACTGTGTCAATCCATATCCTTGGTGGTGGTGGTGGTGGTGGGGCTTCCTCCTTTTCACTGATCCTACATATTACCAGTCATGTATTCCTTCTCCAGGGACTGACCCCTCCTAATAACATGTCCAAAGTATGAGAGATCAAGTCTTACATCTTGGCTTCTAAGGAACACGCTGCTGTACTCCTTTCAAGACTAATTTGTTTTCCCTTCTGGCAGTCCATTACAATACCATAGTTTAAATGTATTGATTCTTCTATGGTTTTCCTTACTCACTGTCCAACTTTCACATGCATATGAGACAATTGTAATACTATGGCTTGAGTAAGGCATGCTTTAGTCCTCAAAATACCATCTTTGCTCCTAAACACTTTAAAGAAGTCTTTTGCAGCAGATTTGTCTAATGGAATATATCATTTGGTTTCTTGACTGTTGCTTCTTTGTGTGGCGATGTAGGATAAGCACTGAACTATTAATCCCAAGGTTTGTGGTTCAAATCCACCAGCCACTGCTTGGAAACACCATAGAGAGTTGTTATGAATCAGAACCTACTTTATAGCACTTAACAACAAGAACATCAACAAAAGTTTCCATGAAGGTTGATCGTGAATCCAAGCAAAATGAAATCTGAACATTTCAATCTTATATCTGTTTATCATGATGTAATTTATTGGGTCATGGAAGCAGCAGTCAAGAAATCAAATGATGTATTGCTGCATAAGACCTCTCTGAAGTGTTCAAGAACAAAGATTGCAGCTTGAGGATTAAGGTGTACCTGACCCCAAGCCGTAGTATTTTCAATAACCTCATATACATGTGAAAGTTGGAAAATGAATAAAGAAGACTATAAAGAATTTATGGATTTGAGTTATGATATTGGAGAATAATATTCAAATTACCATGAAGTGCCAGAAGAACAAACAAATCTGTGTTGGAAGAAGTACAACCAGAATGCTCCTTGGAGGCCAGGATGTCCAGACTTTGCCTCTCATGTCTCAGACATACCATCAGGAGGCATTGAAAAAACAGGCTTGTTAGGAGGGAGAAGCAGACCCGACTCCCCTCACCCCACTCCCCTGGTAACCACCAACACCCACAGATAGAAGAAGACAGCTAAACAAGGAGGCAAAAAGAAAAAAAGCCTATGAGCTACAAGAATGTCAGAGATGGGCATTTTAAGGAATACCCCTAGATAGCCATGTTCGACATCTATTTCACTGGTTTTCAAAGATACATCTGCTTTCTATTAAACCTGCTTTCTCACACTCCTGTTGTCTTGCGTTAGCCACCTCACCCAAATTTGTGACCCCCTAACCCTAACCCTTGCTAGAAGTCCAGGAGAATTCCTGGAGAACATCATGACTGGAAAGCGTTGGTGAAAAAGATGAAGACCTCCCCAACAAGATGGATTGGCACAGTGGTTTGTTTAAGTAGCAATGGACTCAACTATGAGGATGGCGCAGGACCGGGCAATGTTCCGTTCTGTTGTGCAGACAATTGCTATGAGTTGGAACAACAACATAGATGTATTGGTTAACAGCAGCCCTCTTCTTGCTTCATAGCTGTCAGTCAAATGGTCCCCACTGAGCTGTTAGCTAGTCCCCAGAATGGAAAGATGACAGACTCAATGGAAGAAAAGGTGCTAAGTCACAGTCTCTTAATTCATCTACAAGGTTTTCAAAACAAACCGACTCCTCCCTCCCACCCTTGTTGTCGTCGTGTTAGGTGCCATCCAGTCAGTCCCCACTCATAGTGACCTTATGCACAACAGAATGAAACACTGCCGGGTTCTGGGCCAACCTCACAATTGTTGCCAAGCTTGAGCCCAGTGATGCTCGCTGGGTATCTTCCTCTTTTTCTCTGACCCTCCACCTTACCAAACATGATATCCATTGGTAGGGCAGTGGGGTAAGCGCTGAACTGCAAACCACAAGACTGGTGGTTCAAATTCACCAGCGGCTCCTTGAGAGAAAGATGAGGTCCCTCCCGCTAGACTCCCTCCAAACCGTAACAGGTTGTTGAGTGGTTGTGTGCCGTCCTGCGTTATGCACTGGAGACGTCACTTCCTGGGGGCGGGGCCTACAGACGGTTCAGGCGCAGGCGCGGTGGGGCCCGCTAGGCCCAGTAGAGCCCTTGGCTCTCTTGTGAGGGGCTTTCGGTTTGGGGCGTGTCTGGGTGAGTCCAAGCGCTGAGCTGAGGGGCCTGGGGGTCTGGACGCGACGGCGACAAGCGGGGAGGATGCCGTCCGAGATCGGTAATGCGGGCTGGGGCCGGCCGTCCTCCCCGCGCCGCCCTGGTTCCCATGTCCATCGGCGCCGGCGGGCGCGGGGAGGGCATCACGAACCTGGGGGGTCTCCGAAGTTGGGCGTCGCGGGCTGGGCCTGGCTGGGGACGTTGACAGGAAGTGACCCACTCAGCGCCCGGCGTTCCCTCTAAATGACGGCCGCCCCTACCTGTTGAGTCCATCGGTGACCGGCTGAGAGCGGCCCAGGGGCTCCGGGTGGGTGGGTGGGCGGTGGGCAGCAGCAGTCTGCGCCCTCGGTTTGGGAGCGGCCGTTTCCAGAATGAGAACCCTAGAAGGCTCGTGGGGAGGCAGCATTTGGCTGGTCCTAGGAGGTGTGGCGCGGTAACCCCAAGGTCGTCAGTTCAAACCCACCCGCCAGGTTGGCTGTGCTTGAAGCCACTGTGTCAGGCCCTCTGCTGGAGGGTCTCCCTGTTCACTGACCCTCCACTTGACCAAGCGTGTTAGCTTTCTCCAGGGCCTGCGCCTTTCTGATAACATGGCCAAAGGTCTTGAGACCAGTTCTCACCCACCTCGATTCCAGAGAGCTTTCCAGCGTTGTTCGCGCATCTGCCAGTGCATGGCCCGTTCAATGTCCTTCACCAATACCGTAATTCAAAGGCATTCCCTCTACCTCGTCCTTAGTCATGGTCCAACTTCTCCAGGCAGATGGGTCAGGCACACCTGGTCTTCAAACTTACAGCTTTGCTTTTGCATACCCCAAAGAGGTTTTTGCATGATTTTCCCAGCGCAATCTATTGATTGATTTATTGACTGATGCTTCCTGTTCTTGGGGGGATTCTTTTAGTCTTTCTCCATTAAATGTGACATTGGTGGCGGCGGTGGTTGTGTGCCAGAGAGTTGGTGCTGACTAACGGCGACCCTGTAGATCGTTAGGGGAGCAGAAAGCCTCATCTTTCTTTGGCAAAAGGACTGGTAGATTCCAAGTGCTGACCTTGTGTTTGGCAGCCCAGCTTGTAATCCATTCCCCTACCAAGGATCCCTGACCGTGGCATGAAGTGTGGGGTTTTCAGAAAAGTGTTTTAGCATGCTAAGAAATTTGTCTCTGTGTGAAGGGTCTTGGATTTTGTCAAATGTCTTTTCTGTGTTGAGGAAATAATGGGATTGTTTTTCTCAGTTTCATTAATGTGCTGTATTACGTTCTTTCATTTTCTTGAATAATTCCTACAAAAAGTCACTTCATCAGAGTGTGTAATCCTTTTAATTTGTTAGTGGATTCGGTTTACTACTATTTTGTTGAGAATTTCTGTATCTAAACTCACTAGGCTTTTCTCTTTGTGATGTCTCTATCTGCGTTGGTATCAGCGTATTGCTGTCAGACCTGAACTCAGAACAATACAAACTCATTTCTTTCTCCTGCCTGGTCTCTCTGCTACCAGCTACCAGAATGATCCGCGTCAGGCCGTGTAGCCCTCCTGGAGTCTACCTTTGAGTCCATCTGTTTAGGCCTCTTGAGCAGTCTGGAAGCCACGTCAGGCTGTGTCATAGAGTCTGGAGGGTTGGCCCATCAGACTATAGTCCTACCGTGTCTGCTGTCCCCCTACCAGAGAGATGGCCTTTCACTCTCACAGTGAGCCAGTATCCTCAGAGCATGGCATGCCACATGGAATATTGGGTGGGGTTTCCTTTACTTCTCCTGAGGAGCTGGGATCCTTTGGTGCTGTGGACACCACCTTGTTTGTTCCAAGTTCACACACAGCAGAAGGCCACCCTGCTCTTTGCCAGCTGTGCAGAGAGTCCAGCAGCTATCACGTATGAGGTCTGGGGGTCATTTCTGTGAACACCACCACACACTCGCCTTCTGTATATGTCTGGGGTAAAGAGAAGTGGCTTCTGAGGCTTTTTGTTGCCCTGGAATTTTCTTCAAGGAAACACTTTTCTGGAAGGAGCTAAAAATGAATCAGGTTTCTGAAAACAGGGCCAACCAACACCCTTTGCCCCCACCTGTCTTAGTGTTGTGAGGCTGAAACCCGGCCCTGGGGCTGGAGGAGCAGTAAGTTTCCCAAGGGGAACATGCTCGGTGGGGATATGTGGGATACAGCTGGCTGAGGGTGGAAAAGGGCAGTGCCAACCCTCCATGCCCGATGGCCTGCTCCTGTCCCCCAGCACAGTCTGTCCCCAGCCCCCCTCTCTCCAGTCTTTTGGTGGGATATGATCTGCAGCCTCCAGCCCAGGTGTACGAGCTGGGCATGGGCTCTGTCCCTCCCTTAGGAAGGAAGGCAATGACAGGGACGTGGCAGAGCCCAAGTCAGTTAACCCACCCCCAGACTGTGCCATCTGTCAGGTGGGGGAGCGGCTGATTGGACCTCTGCTTCTAGATCCTTCCTGGGTACTTCACAGCCTTGGCCATGGGCTTCCCCTCTTCCCCTAGCCCTGGCCATCTCTTCAGCTATGGTGGGCAACTTCCAATCTTTCCAAGAAGATTTGCAAGCTGGCAAGGGCGGGAAAGAGGCGTCCCTCAGTCCCTGTGTCCCACTTACGGGATGGCTCCCCCCAGACCCCTCCAAGAATTCTCCCTTTCTGTCTCTCCGTGTCTGGGTGCCCACCTCTGCATTGAGTTTCGTTGGTAACCCACAGTCCACTTCAGGGACGTCTGTGCCCTCTCCAGAGGCCTGGGGTGTAAGCAGCCTCTGTGATGAGCCTAGCCCAGCCCCAGGCTAGGGGAGGGGACAGGAGAGTAAGAGAACAGTCACACTTAGACCAGAAACAAAACAGGCACAGGTGTGGGAGACTGCTCCGTAGAGAAATCATAGTGGTTTTCTGATCGCTTGGTTGGTTGGTCAGTTACTGTTAGGTTGGAAGAACTGCAGTCAGGAATCCTTCCAGATTTCTGAAAAGCCTGCAGGCTGAACTGTTGGTGTTATGGACAGAGAGTGAAGGGACAAAAACTCAAGAAGAATAAAGAAATGTTAGTTGCAAAAACAGTACGAAAAATACTGATTATAGTGTGGCACTGTGGGTTAATGCGCTGGACTGCATAGTGGGTTGAGCTGCAATGTCGGCGGTTCAAGCCCAACTGTCACTCCTCAGAAGCCCCTGGTACAGGGTCGCTATGAGTCGGAACTGACTCAATGTCACTTAGCAACAACAAAGGAAATGAAAGTTTGTTTAAAAACAACACAACAGAAGGGTTCCAGCTGCATGTGAGGGAAGTCTTGGACTTGGACTTGAAGAATGGCTTTCCCACAAGCTAAGGCAGTGTCCGGCCTCCTGTGGTGGGCAGGCCTGTGGGACTCTGGAAGGCGGGAGCCAGATCGGCCTTCAATGCAAATGTCCTTGAGCACAGGGGGACATCTCTCCAGGGAAATTGCTGAAGGCTCGGAACCTGACATTCTCTTCTTACTCAAACTGTCTCCCTCTCCCGCTTTAGGGCCCAGGGGTGGCACATGAAGAAATAGTCCAGTCTAGGCAGCTGTGGACTGAGGACAATCATCTTGCCCAGCCAGCAAATCCCGAGGGAGCATTTTGACTGCTCTGAGTAGCTGTGTGGACCCAGCGTCCGTCATCGGCCTGCAGTCTGCCCAGCGGCTCTGCTCCACTCCTGTCCATCTTCCTGAAGTGGCTGCTTGGGCGCCGAGAGCACATTCAGTTAGACTTCGGAAGTTGGAGACAGGAAATGGTGAGTACCACCGAGGTCTGGGCTGTTGTTTCTGTAAGGGGTGAGGCTGGAAACGAATCCTAGGGGGTCATGTGCTCTGGGCCCTGAGGTCCTGCAATAAGACAAACAGGTATCTTGAGCCCTAAGAGAATAGGAGCTCTAGTAGCATAATGGTTACGAGTCGGACTGCGAACCTCAAGGTCGGCAGTTTGAAACTACCAGCAGTTCCGTGGGAGAAAGATGAAGCTTTCTGTTCCTGTGAGGATTTACAGCCTTGGAAACCCTGTACAGGGTCGCTCTGAGTTGGAACCGACTCCACGGCACATCCCCACCACCACCAAGCCTTGGATGCCTTAGGTCACCTTCCTTAAGTGACTTTCGGGGACTGGTGTCCTGGGCCTGGCTTCTCAGTGTTGGATGACAGGGCCTCCGGTGGTGACGGAGCGGCTCTGCCCGAGGAGCCCAGGCTCCTGGGTCCCATCCATGTCGTACCCACAGTGGGATGTGGTAGAAAGCGGGAGCGTAAACTAGTAACAGTTGTTCGTTGTTAAGTGCTATCAAGTTGTTCGGACTCATGGCGACCCTATGTAGGGTTTTCAAGGCTGTGAATCTCTGTGGGAGCGGAAAGTCTCATTTTCCATCCATAGAGCGTCTGGTGGGCTTGAACTGCTGACTTAATGTGAGCAGTCCAGTGCTTATTCTAGGGAGGTAACAGTAGGTTCTGACTACATGTGGGGTCCTGGGTGAGCCATGGTCTGCCTATGAATTTACCAGTGAAAGAGGCAGAGGAGAATGAGGCATAAAGAGTAAATGGACTAGGGTGTCAGAGCATTTTGCAAAGCCCTTCCAAGTTTGTAGTTTCCCCTAGTTTCCCTATTTTACAGTGAATATATTGCAGAAATGGAAGTGAGCAGTTTTGGTAGATTTGAAACTGTAAGCTGGCCTATTGCTGTGGAGCAGGCTGGTTTTTTTTAAGTTTTATTGTGAATTATGTGATAGATGACATGGGAGAACATCAATTTTACACTCATCCTATCGGATATTGTTTCATTGCCATGATTACAATCCCCTCCACGCATCACCAATCAACGAAAGGGTACACCCTGTGAGGAGTAGGCTCTTGAATGTGGCATCAGCTCCGTCTGGGCTCTGACACCATCGTTCCAGGCAGGGTTCCTGAAGCTCACTGCAGCCAGATAGCACATCTGTTGGCTCAGTCACATTGCAGCACCCAGAGCGCAGTGTCTTGTCTCCTCACTCCGTGTGGGGGCAGAAGGGTTGCTGCTGTTTCACAGAGGCCAGTCCTGTACAGTCCAGACGATGCCAGTGGTCAGGGTCCAGGTAGACCTGCTTGTGTGCTTTCCAAGGGCTACAAATGTTAATCTTCTGGGGTGGTGCATTGAGAGGATGGTGGGTTATTGTTTCTGATGATACACAAGCAGTTTCACATCTAAACCCTCTGATTTTAATGGACTTAAATGACAATGGAAAGCTAACCTCTTGGTCACAGTCATTAAACTCAGGGGTTCTTCACGTATTGGGCTCATTGTTGTCTCCTACCTGTGTGTTTATGTGGCTACTTGAGTGTCTGTTTGTTTAGAAGAGTTGTTAATAACTGGTGTGCCATAGCTTTAGGTCTCAAGAGTTAGAGAACTGTGATGTTACTCGTCTGTCCTGTGTCCTCCCTCACCTCTTTTAACCTTTTGAATACCCTTACCTGTCTCCTTGAAGAGACAGAGTACATAACAGCAAAAGTGTAGCTGACAGACATGTAAAACTTCATAATTCTCCAAAAATTCTCCTCTTTTCAGCAGGTGGTCCTGTCAGCTCTTGATCACCTGCAGTTCTTCAAGAATCTGATGAGCTCAGGGGCTTCAGTTGCCAATGTTTACTGGAGGCTGTTGGACCTCCCGTGGCTGCCCGTCCTGCATCATTTCCCAGTTGTTAATATCTCACCCTGCTTTCATACTTATGCTTTGTGTTTTGTTAAATGTTCTGGCGGGTCCGATGCAAGGAAGTGAGCTTTTTTCCTTCACAAGGAAGAGGTGATCTAAATGTGGAAATAAGATTTCCATTGCAGAACATTTCTCTAAATTATGTATTTGTTCTGTTTTAGGTCATAAATACAGAGAGGACTGAGATTGCAGTTGGCCAGAGCAAACTGGGGAAAGATAAGTTGGTTGAGTTGGAAGTCTTGTTAAGTCTGAGGCAGGATGCTGTCAGTGAGGAAGCGAATGTAGGCAGTGAAGGGATCAAGCTGGTGATTGACCCTAGAGTGGCTGTTGACTGTTCAGTGATGTTGAGTCGATTTCTACGTAGGCTTTCTGGGGAGAGGCTGGTGGCTTTGAACTGCCAATTTGGCAGTTAGCATTCCAGTGCTTGTCCTACAGTGTTACACCAGTACTCTGTAGAGCAGGCCTTAGTGAAACACAGACCTCTGTGACAAATACCCACGAGTCCCCAGCACCGTCGGCCTCACCCTTCTGTCACACACACTGGAGGAGTCCACGGTCCCTTGCTGATCCAGAATGTGGGGTGTTGTAGGACGCTGTGGCTGTTGAGGATGTGGCTGTGGACTTTACCCAGGACGAGTGGGCGTTACTGGATCTTCCTCAGAGGAAACTCTACAGAGATGTGATGATGGAAACCTTCAGAAACCTGGCCTCAGTAGGTATGGATGGCTCTTTCTTTACCATACTCAAATATGTTGCTTCACTGTGTGGCCTGAGAAATGGGAATACTGTGTTTAATTTAGAACATAGGGCTCTGTGCTGTCTGCAGCATGCATATCCTGGCCTCCCATGTACGCACTGACTTGTCATGTCCTACGTGGTTAGAATGTGTGTACACATGACTGTTGCCAGCGGGGGTCTCTGGTGCAGAGGGCAGCTTTGTGGTCTGGGACCTAGGCAAGACTCTTATTGTGCGTATTAGAGACTCCAGATACGATTTTACTGAGAATCGATCACACCTGCCCATCTCTCGAGAGCCTGAACCCCAAAGTATTGGCCCCGTGTCAGGGACGTACCCGTGGCTCTCTCCTATGTTCGTTCATGTGTTCCTCGCTCCACGATCATCATCATCAGTTCTCCAGAGGAACAAGAGGGAGCCTGTGGACCACTGGGTCTGGGGCAAGAGTGCTGTGAAGGAGTAGGTCTTCCTGGAGAGAATCCTCTTGAAATCAGTTCGCTTTACAAAGCTGCTCTGGGGTTGAGAGTATGTACTTCCCAGTTATCTGCCCTTGCTGTTCTTTCATCAACCCTAACAGACGTGTTCATGGAAGGAGACCATCCCCTCAGCTGCTTTGAATGTTCCATAATTACCTCCTGTTGATGACAAGTTCACTCAGTTTTCATGGAAGTATTTCTTTGTATGTGGGAGCGTGCTTCAAGCCTGCCAACTGTTCAGCGGGAGAAAGATGAGGCTTTCAGTTCTGTGAGAGATTAATAAAAAAAGTCCTAGAAACCCTATACAACAGGGGTGGTCCTGCCAAGGTAACTGCAGTCAAGCCATCACATTGGGCTCAGGGGGTGAGTTAATTCTTTGACAAGATATAGCAGGCTAATTTTTAAGCTGATAATTTTCTGTGGCCCATGAATGTTGTTGTAAATTTTGGCAGAAAAATGATTCCGCACCCCTGCTGTCCAGGGTCGCTCTAAGTCAGAACCAACTCAAGGCACTTAACAGCAACAACAACATTGCCTTGTAAGTTTCTTTTTGATCAAACCCTAAGGACTGAAACCGGAAAATGTGTCACAGGCTTTCTTTGCTCGCAGCTACCTTTTTTTTTCTGAGTAATGCCTTTGTTTTGTTGTTTCATGTTGTGAACCTCTTAAAAAATCATTGGGTCAGTTTCTAGAAACCTGCATGATGGAGAAAAGCTATCCACTGAAATTATAATGGAACAATTCTTGAAACACGACACCCGCTCCTCCACGGTAAGAGAACTCTGTGAAGTGCATGGGATTGAAGATCAGGAAAACAACCAAGAAACATACGTGAGGTGAGTGTCATTCCTTTGCGAGATGGCAGCGTTTCAGGAGAGTCTTAAGCAAATATCATGACATTGAAACATATGTATAGAGGGGAAATTCTGGTATGGTACAGTCAGGTAAGCACTACACTGGTAACTGTCAAACCCACCGGCTGCACCTTGGAAACTCTATACAATATATGTATACATTGTTGTTGTTTTGTGCCATGGAATCGGTTCCGACTCATAGCGACCCTGTACAGGGTTTCCAAGGCTGTAAATCTTTATGGGAGCAGAACACCTCATCTTTCTCCCGCGGAACTGCTGGTAGTTTTGAACTGCTGAGCTAGCGGT